AGCGGGGTGAGTGGAGGTGAGTGGGGTGAGTGGAGGTGAGTGTAGGTGAGTGGAGGTGAGCGGGGTGAGTGGAGGTGAGCGTGGTGAGTGGAGGTGAGTGGAGATGAGCGTGGTGAGTGGAGGTGAGCTGGTGAGGGCACCTGGTGCGGGCGCGTTCTGCCGCCGTCGCCGTGAGGAGCAGCAGCAGCAGGAGCAGTGAGGACTTCATGGCGTGCCCGGGGTGCCAACTGTAGACCAGCAACTGTGACCGTCTCGCGTGACCTGTTGGGTCCAACTCGAACCGTCTCACTCAACCATAACACCTACACACTCACCCATACACCTACACACTCACCCATACACCTACACACACACCCATACACCTACACACTCACCCATACACCTACACACTCACCCATACACCTACACACTCACCCATACACCTACACACTCACCCATACACCTACACACCCATACACCTACACACTCACCCATACACCTACACACTCACCCATACACCTACACACTCACCCATACACCTACACACTCACCCATACACCTACACACCCATACACCTACACACCCATACACCTACACACTCACCCATACACCTACACACTCACCCATACACCTACACACTCACCCATACACCTACACACTCACCCATACACCTACACACTCACCCATACACCTACACACTCACCCATACACCTACACACTCACCCATACACCTACACACTCACCCATACACCTACACACCCACCCATACACCTACACACCCACCCATACACCTACACACTCACCCATACACCTACACACCCATACACCTACACACTCACCCATACACCTACACACTCACCCATACACCTACACACTCACCCATACACCTACACACTCACCCATACACCTACACACTCACCCATACACCTACACACTCACCCATACACCTACACACTCACCCATACACCTACACACTCACCCATACACCTACCCCACTCACCCATACACCTACACACTCACCCATACACCTACACACCCATACACCTACACACCCACCTACACACCCACCCATACACCTACACACTCACCCATACACCTACACACCCATACACCTACACACCCACCCATACACCTACCCCATACACCTACCCCACTCACCCATACACCTACACACTCACCCATACACCTACACACTCACCCATACACCTACACACTCACCCATACACCTACCCCACTCACCCATACACCTACACACTCACCCATACACCTACCCACCCACCCATACACCTACACACCCACCCATACACCTACCCCACTCACCCATAACACCTACACACTCACCCATACACCTACACACTCACCCATACACCTACACACTCACCCATACACCTACACACTCACCCATACACCTACACACCCATACACCTACACACCCACCCATACACCTACACACTCACCCATACACCTACACACCCACCCATACACCTACCCCACTCTCCCATACACCTACCCCACTCACCCATACAGCTACCCCACTCACCCATACACCTACCCCACTCACCCATACACCTACCCCACTCACCCATACACCTACCCCACTCTCCCATACACCTACCCACTCACCCATATACCTACCCCACTCACCCATACACCTACACACCCACCCATACACCTACCCCACTCACCCATACACCTACACACCCACCCATACACCTACCCCACTCACCCATACACCTACCCCACTTACCCATACACCTACACACCCACCCATACACCTACCCCACTCACCCATACACCTACCCCACTCACCCATACACCTACCCCACTCACCCATACACCTACCCCACTCACCTATACACCTACCCCACTCACCGATAAACCTACCCCACTCACCCATACACCTACCACACTCACCCATACACCTACACACCCACCCATACACCTACCCACTCAGCCATACACCTACCCACTCACCCATACACACACCCCACTCACCCATACACCTACCCCACTCACCATACACCTACCCCACTCACCCATACACCTACCCACTCACCCATACACCTACCCACTCACCCATACACACACACCCCACTCACCCATACACCTACCCCACTCACCGATACACCTACCCCACTCACCAATACACCTACACACCTACCCACTCACCCATACACCTACCCACTCACCCATACACCTACCCCACTCACCCATACACACACCCCACTCACCCATACACCTACACACGCACCCATACACCTACCCCACTCACCCATACACACGCTCACCTATACACCTACACACTCACCCATACACCTACCAACTCACCCATACACCTACCCACTCACCCATACACATGCTCATCCATACACCTACAACAACAACCGCCATTCGCCACTAAGTGGCGGTGACGTCACCACGACGCTTGTGCCAGGCCATGTGCACCTTGAGGCCACGTGAAGTGTCGAACGCCCGCTAGCAGGTCACGGGGCAGACCCAAGTGCCACGGGTCGACTAAGATGACTGAGATGACTGGCTGATGCACCACCTGTGCTACCCTACTGTGCCAACCTGCTGTGCTTTAGCCACCGGCGCTCCGCTCGTTGTTGTGAGCGTCGCTCCTCCGCCCTCCGTTGTTGGAGGGCGACTGCCTCCAACTGCCCAGTAGAGTCATTCACGAGCCTCCTCCACAGAGGCCGATCTTGACACTGCTGGTACCAGTCATCGGCAAGTCCACTCAGCTCCACGTCCTCCTGTACCACATCACGCCATCTCTTCTCTAGCCCGTACCGCGCCCATTTAGCCCCCTCGATCCGGCCGAACAAAAGCTGTTTCGGCATGCGGTGGCTAAACATACGGGCTACATGACCCAGCTAACGCAGCCTTGCCTGCCGGAGGAGCTCACCGATGGGGCCTTGCCCAGATCTTTCAAAGATTTGTGAGCTCCTCACACAATCCAGCCTGGTTAAACCCAGGATGGATCGTAGGCAGGCTAGCCTAAATGTTTCTAACCGGCGAAGATGTTTCATTAGGGGGGTCCACGTTTCGCAAGCGTAGAGAAGGGAGGGAATGACCGTGGCCGAGAAGACCTGAAGCTTAGTGCAGAGCGACAGACCAGGTAGCTTGGGAGATCATCTCTACCCGGTGCCTTTCCTGGTTTCAGACTCCGGATCGCCTTCAGTACTTCCTCAACAGATGGCACCTCAGCCAGCCACTCACAGGGGGTGACTTCTTGCAATATTTGAGGCACTGCAGCCTCAGCAGGGTCATCCCCACTGTGTGCCACGTTGTTTTCCTGGCTGAGGGATTTCCCCTCCCCCAGGACCTCAGAAATGCTCAGCAAATCTGCAAACCCATACACACGCTCACCCATACACCTAGAGTAAGGGAAAAAAGTATTTGATCCCCAACTGATTTTGTACGTTTGCCCACTGACAAAGAAATGACCAGTCTATAATTTTAATGGTAGGTTTATTTGAACAGTGAGAGACAGAATAACAACAAAAAATCCAGAAAAACGCATGTCAAAAATGTTATAAATTGATTTGCATTTTAACGAGGGAAATAAGTATTTGACCCCTCTGCAAAACATGACTTAGTACTTGGTGGCAAAACCCTTGTTGGCAATCACAGAGGTCAGACGTTTCTTGTAGTTGGCCACCAGGTTTACACACATCTCAGGAGGGATTTTGTCCCACTCCTCTTTGCAGATCTTCTCCAAGTCATTAAGGTTTCGAGGCTGACGTTTGGCAACTCGAACCTTCAGCTTCCTCCACAGATTTTCTATGGGGTTAAGGTCTGGAGACTGGCTAGGCCACTCCAGGACCTTAATGTGCTTCTTCTTGAGCCACTCCTTTGTTGCCTTGGCCGTGTGTTTTGGGTCATTGTCATGCTGGAATACCCATCCACAACCCATTTTCAATTCCCTGGCTGAGGGAAGGAGGTTCTCACCCAAGATTTGATGGTACATGGCCCCGTCTATCGTCCCTTTGATGCGGTGAAGTTGTCCTGTCCCCTTAGCAGAAAAACACCCCCAAAGCATGTTTCCACCTCCATGTTTGAAAGTGGGGATGGTGTTCTTGGCGTCATAGGCAGCATTCCTCCACCTCCAAACACGGCGAGTTGAGTTGATGCCAAAGAGCTCCATTTTGGTCTCATCTGACCACAACACTTTCACCCAGTTGTCCTCTGAATCATTCAGATGTTCATTTGCAAACTTCAGACGGGCATGTATGTGCTTTCTTGAGTAGGGGGACCTTGCGGGCGCTGCAGGATTTCAGTCCTTCACGGCGTAGTGTGTTACTAATTGTTTTCTTGGTGACTATGGTCCCAGCTGCCTTGAGATCATTGACAAGGTCCTCCCGTGTAGTTCTGGGCTGATTCCTCACCGTTCTCATGATCATTGCAACTCCACGAGGTGAGATCTTGCATGGGGCCCCAGGCCGAGGGAGATTGACAGTTTTTTTGTGTTTCTTCCATTTGCGAATAATCGCACCAACTGTTGTCACCTTCTCACCAAGCTGATTGGCAATGATCTTGTAGCCCATTCCAGCCCTGTGTAGGTCTACAATCCTGTCCCTGACATCCTTGGAGAGCTCTTTGGTCTTGGCCATGGTGGAGAGTTTGGAATCTGATTGATTGATTGCTTCTGTGGACAGGTGTCTTTTATACAGGTAACAAGCTGAGATTAGGAGCACTCCCTTTAAGAGTGTGCTCCTAATCTCAGCTCATTACCTGTATAAAAGACACCTGGGAGCCAGAAATCTTTCTGATTGAGAGGGGGTCAAATACTTATTTCCCTCATTAAAATGCAAATCAATTTATAACATTTTTGACATGCGTTTTTCTGGATTTTTTGTTGTTATTCTGTCTCTCAATGTTCAAATAAACCTACCATTAAAATTATAGACTGATCATTTCTTTGTCAGTGGGCAAACGTACAAAATCAGCAGGGGATCAAATACTTTTTTCCCTCACTGTACACACCCATACACAGCGTGGGAGACATGACACACCGGCAATGACGCTAATTCGTGACACGTTTATGACTCGCGTGTTCCCCCCACAGTGCGACACGCGCACGGGAGCGACGCGTTCGCCTCTCCCCACGGAGCTCCACACGTGGCGGGACGAGATGGGGACGAGACGGGGACGAGACGGGGACGAGACGGGACAAGCGAACGATAGACATACAGCATAAATAACCACGCGCGGCATCCTAACGAATATTCTCTGTTATATAAACACAATAAGTTGCTGTACAGTGTCAGCTACGCCGAGTGCAAATTTGACACGCCGCACGGCACAGCGGAACGGCTTCTCATGCAACCGCGATCATCGTGAACCACGATCATCATCGTCAACCACGATCATCGTCGTCAACCACGATTGTCGTGAACCACGATTATCGTCGTCAACCACGACCACGATCGTCGTCAACCACAACCATCATCATCGTGAACCACAACCACCATCATCGTGAACCACTATCATCGTCGTCAACCAGGATCGTCGCCGTCAACCACGATCATCGTTAAGCACGATCATCGTTAAGCACGATCGTCAGCAACCACGATGGTCAACCACGATCGTCGTCGTCAACCACGATCGCCGTCGTCAACCACGACCACGATCGTCGTCAACCACAACCACCATCATCGTGAACCACTATCATCGTCGTCAACCAGGATCGTCGCCGTCAACCACGATCGTCGTTAAGCACGATCATCGTTAAGCACGATCGTCGTCAACCACGATTGTCAACCACGATCGTCGTCGTCAACCACGATCATCGTCGTGAACCACGATCATCGTCGTCAACCACGATCGTCGTCGTCAACCACGATTGTCGTCGTCAACCACGATCATCGTTAAGCACGATCATCGTTAAGCACGATCGTCATCAACCACGATTGTCAACCACGATCGTCGTTGTGAACCACGATCATCATCGTCAACCACGATCGTCGTCCACGATGGGAGTCGTCAATCACGATTGGCACCACGATTCAGCAGCGGAGGCTGCTGGCCACGCACATGGCCTGTAAAGACAAGCAATGTGGAGGCAGCAAGGGTCGGCGGATCGCACGAATGTTGTGAAACTCCAGTGGGAGTCGAGGAGGAAGCCATGTCCCTGGGTCACCGGAAATGCGGTACGACAAAACGTGTAATAATTTCCCTCACAGCCGTATGCACGGAATCGAGTGTTGCCCCCTCGCACGCGTGGGTTTTTTCTCTGGGGTCCTCCCAGTTTCCTCCCACATGTAAACAGTCATTAATTGGCCGATTAAACCTTGACATGCGGAGGGCAACATTAGCTTGGCTCATCACCTGGCTGCTTGCCTTCTCGCAAGGCTGTGGTTCTCTCCGACAACAGATATTGTGGGTCGGGTGCGTGACAAGTTGACACGGTTATTATTACTATGAACCACAATCATCAACTAACTCCAATCCTCACGTGTCCCATGGGCTCAACTCTTAACCCACGAGCTGCTCCGAGCCACCGCTAGAGGCAACTCCAGAGGCTACCTTGTCGACTCTACCCCGTCGCCCAGGCTGTGTCGGAAGAGGAAGCCGTAACCCACGCATTGCCCCTCCACACGCCAGCTGCCAAACAACCATTTACACTGCTGTCTGGACAGGGTGGGTGGGCGCCGGGGGGGATTTCAGAAACTTGCTCCATTCGTTTTTTTTTTTAACTGCCATGCCGGGCAACCTCTGGATTGCATGCAGGTCCAAGCGCGCCGCTCACCGTTGCGCCACGGTAGCGGCACGTGCTGTACCGCCGCGTCACCGGGGACACGCGTTTGCCCCGTCGCAACATACAGCGACGGGGCAAACGCCTGGGACCGTTGCACCTCCGAAGAGCACCGTTGGCTACGTACCGGTGCAGAAAGGAGTTCAACATACGTAGCAGCATGTATGGTAGGGTCACCGCCTCTGTCCACTGCAGACAAAAAACCCAGGTGGATTCATCCATGAGTATCTGTTATCAAAACTGTGCAGCGGTCCTCTGTGATGAAGTTCAGCACAAAAACCGGTAACCAGATCTCGATACCAATCAAATCCTGGCACCCCAACACAGATGCAAGTTCTCCGGACTGTACCGGGTCTAACGTGGACAGGCGGCAACCCTAAGCACGTGACAAGACACGGGAGGCAAGCCGGACACGTGGCGAGATGCAGCACGGGACACACGGGGGAGGAGACGGGGGGACACCGGACGCTGACACGGGCACTGCGCCCGCACGCCCGAGCGCTTGCATAGTCGTGTAAAGCGGCAGCAGCAGTACTTCTCCTCCTCCTCCTCCTCGCATCCCCGCGACGTCGCGAGAATCGTAAATCAAGAGTCCAGCGAAGCGCCAAGTGTGGCAGGGTGCACGAGTCCCCCCCCTTGCGTTTGCCTTCGCGAGCGCGAGCGTACGCAAGCGCGCGAGCGTACGCAAGCGCTCGTGCGTCTCAGCGGGCGGGGCAGGGCTCCGTGTGCAGACGCAGCGTGCCGCGGGCGTGCAGGTGCATGAGGTGCACCGTCTCGGCGGGCATGGCGTGGAAGCCGGGCCGCGGCTTGGCGTCGTCGTAGTAGTGGTGCGCCAGCGAGTCGCCGCGCGAGCCCACGCCGAAGGGCCAGAAGCCGTAGGCGTGCACCTCGCGGCACAGCTCCAGCGCCGCGCTCGCCACCATGAGGCCGCTGGAGAGGCGGCGCGCGTGGACCCCGCGGGCGCGCCAGAAGGCGCCCACGCTCGCCAGGTACGCCGGGTGGAAGAAGAGCACGGGCCGCGGCAGGCCCAGGTCCTCCATCTGGCGCGGGGGAGCGGGGGCGGCGGCGTGTTACACCACCGCGCGGGCGCACGCGACGGAGACACCGAGCGGGGGTGGCGATGGGGTGAGTGGGTGGCGGTGGTGGTGGTGGTGGGGTGAGTGGGTGGCGGTGGTGGTGGTGGTGGGGTGAGTGGGTGGCGGTGGTGGTGGTGGTGGGGTGAGTGGGTGGTGGTGGTGGTGGTGGTGCGGCGGCGCACCGTGTAGCGCACGCGCAGCGCGAGCTCGGTGTTGCGCCCCACGTAGAACGCGGGCAGCACGAGCGACGCGTTCCCGTACACCTCCAGCGCCTCCGCAAACGGCCGCCGCCTCCTCTCCAGGCGCTCAAACCTGCGCACTCACCACCCGCACCAGCCGCTCACCACCCGCACCGGCCGCTCACCACCCGCACCGGCCGCTCACCACCCGCACCAGCCGCTCACCACCCGCACCGGCCGCTCACCACCCGCACCGGCGGCTCACCACCCGCACCGCTCACTCACCACCCGCACCGGCGGCTCACCACCCGCACCGGTGGCTCACCACCCGCACCGGTGGCTCACCACCCGCACCAGCCGCTCACCACCCGCCCCGCTCGCTCACCACCCACACCGCTCGCTCACCACCCACCGCGCTCACTCACCACCCGCCCCGGCCGCTTACCACCCGCACCGTTCGCTCACCACCTGCTCACCTATCGCTGATGATGCTGGGGTTGATCGTGACCAGGTCGGTTCTGGAGCCCACGTCTTGAGTGAACTCCTCCTGCAGGGGCGGCAGGTTGCACCTGCGGGCACAAGGAGAGCTCACACAGGGACCCCCCCTCCTCACCTCACTCCTCCTCACCCCACTCTCTCACCAGCATCCCCTTCTACTCCTCACCCCCCTCCTCACCTCACTCTTCCTCACCCCACTCTCAGATTCGGGGGGGAGGCGGGGGGGGTTGATTTTCTAATGAGATAATTGTTCATGTGCCTGTTTAGAAACTGGTGTCATCAGGAAACATTAAAAAAAGCAATTCTCATCCGGCCCCATGGTGTAAAGTCTCCCAACTCTTATCATCCACTCTTTCTTTCTTTTAGCCTCTATGTACGGGCTGTGAACAAGGCCCTTTGCCCGAAACGTCGTCTGTTGTGTGTTTTCCCTCTGACGGCTGCACACGATATGAGGAAGCCATCGGGAGGTGTGCGCTTTTAAATCATCGAGATTGACAAACTCATTTCTTTAGAACTCCTTTTTGTCTTTCGTTTGTTGTCCATCCCCCGCACCACCGATTAGCACGGTTGACCACGTACGGAGCGAAAGGGGGGTTCAACGTGCGTGCGTGCGTACGTTGTTAGTGACGAGCGGGGCAGTGTTTTGGTTGAACCTCTAAACCGTCTCTCTCTTCACTGGCCGTGCGAGGCCATCGTCACCCTCACATGATCTTGCCGGCCGAAGCGCGAGGCGTGTGCTCGTTACCGGACCTGTGAGCGGCGAGGGGACACCGCACTCAACTAAACTATTAAAAAATATTTTTTATTTCACCAGGTAAGGACCAATGAGCTATGTAGCTCTTTTTCAGAAGCGATCCAGCCACAAATGATAGCTCAACGAAGTGGCTTATCATCATGTGGACATTTATAGCAGCCAAATACTCTTAAGGCGTGATGTTGATTCTAAATGTGAAGGGGGGGGGGGGGGGGGGAAACTGGATGACCCGGAGAAAAATCCATGCATCCACGGGGAGAAACACACGCAAACTCCAAATATACAGCAGGCGTCAGGATAGGGATCAAACCCACGACCTCCTGTATACCAGGCGAGGTAGTTAACATCTCCTAGCCACCGTGATGATGATGATGATGAAAGAGACACGCAAACTCCAAATATACAGCAGGCGTCAGGGTAGGGATCGAACCCATTACCTCTTGTATACCAGGCGAGGTAGTTAACATCTCCTAGCCACCGTGATGATGATGATGATGAAAGAGACACGCAAACTCCAAATATACAGCAGGCGTCAGGGTAGGGATCGAACCCATGACCTCCTGCATACCAGGCGAGAGAGTTAACATCTCCTAGCCACCAAGGCACCCCACACGAGTTGCACATCACTGTACCGCGAGTGGTGCGGGCGAGTTACCGGAACACGAAGTCAGCGCTGTCGATGTGGTGCCCGCAGCCGCTGCCCGTGAGGATGCCGCCGTTCCCCACCACAGAGCACGTGCGGAACTGCTGCCGGCCGTACGGCATCTCCTGCACAGCGCCAGCGTCATGGCAAGGTCATTGTTACACGCACAGCCGTGCGTGCGTGCGTGTTAGTTAACCAAATTGAATTTCCATCTGGTCCTGATACAGTGAGAGGCTGATCGATGCCCAGGTGCAGTAAACGGTTAGCTTCCCATTGGTCAAGCAAGTTACGTATGCTGATGATCTGGTCATTTCTGCGGCTGGGCAGTTGGAGGCGGTCGCCCTCCAACAGCAGCGGAGGGCGAGGGGAGCGACGCTCACGACGACGAGCGGGGCGCCGGGCGGGTAAACTCATCAAGTCGGCGCAGCCGGTGGCGCAGCCGGTGGCGCGTCCGCCGGTCGACGCGCAGCGTGGCGCTCACCGGAGGCAGCATGTTGAACAGCTCCTGGCCGACCTGCAGCGTCCGCTTCTCCTCGCCCTCATAGCGCAGGCGGCTCCCCAGCGCCACATTCCGCTGAGACGCCACCAGCAGCCCCGGCGCATTGCAGCACCGCGACAGCTGCAGCCTGCGGCGGCGGCGGCGGCGCGGCGCCGGGGACAACGCGGGGGGGGAGAGACGGGGGCACACGGGGGGAGTTGCACTGGAGCCGCACAGGGCAGAAGACACGAGAAGACACGGGGGGAGGGGGCATGGGGAGACAGGGGGAGGGGGCACAGGGCTACAACACGAGACGGTTTTTCAACCTCGCGGCCCTGTGCGGTGGATGCCGCAGGCAAGCAGCCGCCTGTTATACGAGCAGCAGGTTTTGTGTGTGCCACTTCCTGGGCTCACGTTACACGGCATTTCTGAGAACTCACTTTGGCTCGAGTCGACCTAGGGAAGGCACAGGCTCAATTCAGATGTCCGTGAATAGTTTTGGCTGTCATCGGAAGTTTAACTTGGGTCGTCGGGTTCGTAGCGCAGGGCACACCCACAGGGCAAGTGTACGCAGATGCGTGCACGCACCTGAGCAGGTCGGACTCGGAGCGGTTATGTGCCCAGTCGCACACCTGGAGGCGCCGCCAGCGATCAAAGACATCGGACTCACGAAACCTGGACGCAACACATCAACCCCGTGACCAACACCACCACCACCAACGCCACCACCATCATCATCATCACCACCAACAACACTATCACCACCATCAGCATCACTACTGTCACCCCAACACCACCATCGCTAAATCACCATCACTACCATCACTCCCACACCACCATTACTCCAACACCACCATTAACCACCACTATCTACGCCATCACCACTATCACCACCACCATCACTATCACCACCACCATCTCTAGCACCATCACCACTATCACCACCATCACTACCAACAACAACATTTCACCATCATCACCACAAAAACACAATAACCATACCACCATCATCACCACCAAACCATAACCACCAACATATCACCGACACCACTACTGCATCACCATCATTACCACATCACCATCATCACCAGCACTCAACACAGTCACGGCCATGATCACGTCCATCTCCCTGGTGCCTATGGTCTCACTGCCTCCACAGCAATCACACCCGTTCCATCACGCTAGTGAGTGGCGCTATTGAGTGGCCCTGATGTGCAGCGCTGGTGAGTGGTGCTTGTATGTTGATGTATGTATATATGTATGTTGAACTTATTTCAGACCGTACGTAGCCAACTGTGCTAATCGGAGGTGCGGGGGAAGGGCAACAAGGTGCTGGTGTGTGGCGCTGGTGAGTGGCGCTGGTTGAATGACACTAGTAAGTGGCGCTGGTGAATGGCACTGGTGATCCTGGTGAGTAGCGCTGGTGTGAGTGAGACTGGTGAGTAGCGCTGGTGTGAGTAGCGCTGGTGTGAGTGGCACTGGTGATACTGGTAAGTGGCACTAGTGAGTTTCGCTGGTTGCATGTCACTGGTAAGTTGCGCTGGTGAGTGGCCCTGGTGATAGGGGTGAGTGGCGCTGGTGAGTGGCACTGGTGATACTGGTAAGTGGCGCTGGTGAGTGACGCTGGTTGCATGCCACTGGTAAGTGGTGCTGGTGAGTGGCCCTGGTGATAGGGGTGAGTGGCGCTGGTGAGTGGCACTGGTGATACTGGTAAGTGGCGCTGGTGAGTGACGCTGGTTGCATGTCACTGGCAAGTGGTGCTGGTGAGCTGGTGAGTGGCCCTGGTGATACTGGTGAGTGCCGCTGTTGAGTGGCACTGGTTGAATAACACGGGTAAGAGGCACTGGCGAGTGGAACTGGTGGCGTTGGTTGCATGTCACTGGTAAGTTGCGCTGGTGATATTGCGCTGGTGATACTGGTCAGTGGTGCTGGTGAGAGAGTGAGGGATAGGGGAAAACTCACATTCCCAGGCGGACGTCGGTCATGTCGGTGCGGAGCTCCCGACACTCGGTGGAGTTGAAGAGCAGAGGGCCGTGGTACGACACGAAATACCTGCAACATACACACAGCACCATCACCACAGGGTCACCACTTTCACCACCACTCGGTGGAGTTAAACAGCAGAGGCCTGTGGTACAACACAAAATACCTGCATCATACGCACAGCACCATCACCACAGGGTCACACCACTTCTACCACCACTCGGTGGAGTTAAACAGCAGAGGGCCGTGGTACAACACAAAATACCTGCGCCATACACACAGCACCATCACTACAGGGTCACACCACTTCTACCACCACTCGGTGGAGTTAAACAGCAGAGGGCCGTGGTACAACACAAAATACCTGCACCGTACACACAGCACCATCACCACCACGGGGTCACCACCACTCAGTGGTTTTGAGGAGGAGAGGCCCGTGGTACGACAGAAAATACCTGCATCACGCACACACACACATAACAACCCCCGTTCACCACCAAGTGGCGGTGACGTCACCATGGCGCTTTGTACCAGGCTGGATGCACTTTTGAGGCCACATGAAGTGTCGAAGGCACGCTGCTGGCAAGAGGTCACGTGACAGACTCAGGTGTCAGGGTTGACTAAGATGACTGACAGACGCACAACCTGCGCATGTGGGCCAGGTTGATTTCACATGGCGTAAGGCAGCTGATGAAGAGACAATGGTGCTGTTCGACTGATTCGGAGATCTCCGCTGCCAAACCGGGGGTCAGTCATACGCACACTGTTCAGGTATGGAAACTTGTCCACCACTGCGCCATCACTCATGGGGGAGTGGGGAACGGGAAGGACGTAAAACACCCAGGCAGGTCCTTAGTTTTTGTGGGGCTGACGGTAAGGCCCCATCTCTTAGTAGCGCGGTCACGGTTCGGCAATAGCTGCTCCAACTCCTTCTTAAGAGTTAGCAGGTATTACCAGTTCATCAGAATGCATAATATGGTTGACCAACAGGAAGCCATCCCCTGACCACACCCAGGCATCGATCAGCCTCCCATTGTATCTGTTACAGTCGGTTATTCCACAGGTACAGGCATGGAAAGCTTCTCGGACTATGTTGTCAAAAATATGTTAAATAGTGTAGGGGTCAGAGGACATCCCTATCGCATCCCAAGGTGAACAGAAAATGGCTTTGTCTCCCGGCCACGCAGCTTTACCTGGGCCTGCCCACCGTCACGAACGTCCTTAAGGATTGTGAGCAGAGGGTCAGGGACTCCGAAGCTAATGAGGAATAACCCAGAACCCTGGCACATTCATGGCATCATAGGCCTTGACCAGGTCAATAAAGCAGAGATGTAGGTGCTGCTGAAATTCCCTCCACCTCTGCTGAAGTAGATGGACAGAGAATATGGCGTCGTGTATAGGACCAACCGCGGCCTGAACCCACAATGGGACTCGGGTCACCACCACCGACACCACCGCGACAGGGTCTTGCTCACCCTGTATGCCTGCCGTCACCCCACGACCCATGAGGCGGCTGCGTACCCACAGTGGCACCCCGTAGGACCCACGTACCTGCGGAGGGCACGGGGCCCGAAGCTGAGCTCCTGCCAGAGCGTGACGAAGGCGAACGCGCACAGGAACATGAAGAGCAGCGTGCGGTTGCCCAGCACCACGGTGGCCGTGCCGTCCGTGTAGCCCATCGCTGCTTCTGCTGCTGCAGCAGCGCAGCTGCGCCAGGGGAGCAGAGACGGGGAGAGCAGGTGAGGGTACACACACAGGTGAGAGTACACACACACAGGTGAGAGTACACACACAGGTGAGGGTACACACACAGGTGAGTGTACACACACACGGGTGAGGGTACACACACACACACAGGTGAGGGTACACACACAGGTGAGAGTACACACACAGGTGAGTGTACACACACACAGGTGAGGGTACACACACACGGGTGAGGGTACACACACACGGGTGAGGGTACACACACACACACGGGTGAGGGTACACACACACACACACACGGATGAGGGTACACACACACACGGGTGAGGGTACACACACGGGTGAGGGTACACACAGAGGTGAGTGTACACACACATATACAGGTGAGGGTACACACACACACACTGGTGAGGATGCACACACACTGGTGAGCGCACACACACACGAGTGAGGGCACACACACACAGGTGAGAGTACACACACACACGGGTGAGGGCACACACACACGAGTGAGGGTACACACACACTGGTGAGGGCACACACACACGGGTGAGGGTACACACACACTGGTGAGGGCACACACACACGGGTGAGGGTACACACACACGGGTGAGTGTACACACACACAGGTGAGTGTACACACACACGGGTGAGTGTACACACACACGGGTGAGGGTACACACACACACAGGTGAGTGTACACACACACAGGTGAGTGTACACACACACGGGTGAGTGTACACACACACGGGTGAGGGTACACACACACACAGGTGAGGCTACACACACAGGTGAGGATACACACACGGGTGAGGGTACACACACACAGGTGAGAGTACACACACACAGGTGAGTGTACACACACGGGTGAGGGTACACACACACAGGTGAGGGTACACACACACGGGTGAGGGTACACACACACGGGTGAGGGTACACACACACACAGGTGAGTGTACACACACGGGTGAGGGTACACACACACACAGGTGAGGCTACACACACAGGTGAGAGTACACACACAGGTGAGAGTACACACACACTGGTTAGGGTACACACACACTGGTTAGGGTACACACACACACTGGTGAGCGTACACACACACACGGGTGAGTGTACACACACACGGGTGAGTGTACACACACACGGGTGAGTGTACACACACACGGGTGAGTGTACACACACACTGGTGAGGGTACACACACACACACACTGGTGAGGGTACACACTGGTGAGGGTACACACTGGTGAGGGTACACACACACACTGGTGAGGGTGAGTACAGCTCTCACCTCACTGGAATCGGCTTCACGCGGGTCGCGTTGTGGAGCCGCGACCCCAGGGCCGGGGCGCCATGTGGCCTACGAGCCGCGGCGACTCCTCACCCCGCACTACTCACCCCACTCCTCACCCCACTCCTCACTCCTGTCTCCTTTCCCTGCTGTCCTCCCTCCTCACCATTCACCGCGCTTGTCACTCCTCATCCACTGTCTCTCTCCTCACCCACTGTCTCCTCACCCACTGTCTCCTCACCCACTGTCTCTCTCCTCACCCACTGTCTCCTCACCCACTGTCTCTCTCTCTCTCCTCACCCACTGTCTCTCTCCTCACCCACTGTCTCTCTCTCTCCTCACCCACTGTCTCTCTCCTCACCCACTGTCTCTCTCCTTACCCACTGTCTCTCTCCTCAATGGACGTCTGTTTAAAAAAAAAAGATGGAGCTTGATAGCTCATCGGATGGCTCATCCGGTTCTAAAAGAAGATGTTCGTGACTGCGATTCACGCGGCAATTCTCTCTCGCTTCTTCTCGCCCTCGCGCCAAGGTCACGCGCGGAGACGCGCATGCGTGCAGCGCCACGAAGTCCCCAGAGCTGCCCCGTGCCCCCCACTGCCCCCCCCCCAGCTGCCCCGTGCCCCCCCCCACTGCCCCCCAGCTGCCCCGTGCCCCCCCCACTGCCCCCCAGCTGCCCCGTGCCCCCCACTGCCCCCCCCAGCTGCCCCGTGCCCCCCCCACTGCCCCCCAGCTGCCCCGTGCCCCCCCCCACTGCCCCCCAGCTGCCCCGTGCCCCCCCCACTGCTCCCCCCAGCTGCCCCGTGCCCCCCCCACTGCCTCCCCCAGCTGCCCCGTGCCCCCCCACTGCCCCCCCCAGCTGCCCCGTCCCCTCACTGCCTCCCCCCCAGCTGCCCCGTCCCGCCACTGCCCCCCCCAACTGCCCCCCCAGCTGCCCCGTGACCCCCCACAGCTGCCCCGTCCCGCCACTGCCCTGTCCCCCCTCACTGACCCCGCCCCTCACTGCTGCCCTGTCCCCCCTCACTGACCCCGCCCCTCACTGACCCCGCCCCTCACTGCTGCCCTGTCCCCCCTCACTGACCCCGCCCCTCACTGACTCCGCCCCTCACTGCTGCCCTGTCCCCCCTCACTGACCCCGCCCCTCACTGACCCCGCCCCTCACTGCTGCCCTGTCCCCCCTCACTGACCCCGCCCCTCACTGCTGCCCTGTTCCCCCTCACTGACCCCGCCCCTCACTGACCCCGCCCCTCACTGCTGCCCTGTCCCCCCTCACTGACCCCGCCCCTCACTGCTGCCCTGTCCCCCCTCACTGACCCCGCCCCTCACTGACCCCGCCCCTCACTGCTGCCCTGTCCCCCCTCACTGACCCCGCCCCTCACTGCTGCCCTGTCCCCCCTCACTGACCCCGCCCCTCACTGACCCCGCCCCTCACTGCTGCCCTGTCCCCCCTCACTGACCCCGCCCCTCACTTACCCCGCCCCTCACTGCTGCCCTGTCCCCCCTCACTGCCCCGTGCCCTCTGTTGTCTGCGATTTCACGGGGAACAGTATATACAGTATATACAGTCCGTGTGTACCATCTACAGTATATACAGTATACACAGTACGTGTGTACCATCTACAGTATATACAGTATATGCAGTCCGTGTGCACCCGCTACAGTATATACAGTCTATACAGTACACATGTGCCCGCTACAGTATATACAATCCGTGTGTACCAGCTACAGTACATACAGTCCTGTGTACCAGCTACAGTATATACAGTCCGTGTGTGCCCGCTACAGTATATACAGTACACGTGTGCCCGCTACAGTATATACAGTCCATGTATACCTGCTACAGTATGTACAGTATTACAGTCCGTGTGTACCAGCTACAGTATACACAGTATATACAGTGATGTGTGCCCGTTACAGTATATACAGTATATACAGTGCACGTGCGTCCGCTACAGTATATACAGTCCGTGTGTGCCCGCTACAGTATGAACAGTACACGTGTGCCAGCTACAGTATATACAGTCCACGTGTACCCGTTACAGTATATAAAGTCCACGTGTACCCGCTATAGTCTATACAGTCCGTTTGTACCCGCTACAGTATATACAGTCCATGTGTACCAGCTACAGTATATATAGTCTATACAGTCCGTGTTTACCAGTTACAGTATATACAGTATATACAGCCCATGTGTACCAGCTACTGTATATATAGTCTATACAGTCCACGTGTGCCCGCTACAGTATATACAGTATATACAGTCCATGTGTACCAGCTACAGTCTGTACAGTCTATACAATCCACGAGTACCCGCTACAGTCTATACAGTCCACGTGTACCAGCTACAGTCTATACAGTCCACGTGTACCCACTACAGTCTATACAGTCCACGTGTACCCGCTACAGTATATACAGTCCGTGTGTGCCCGCTACAGTAGTCTATACAGTCCACGTGTACCAGCTACAGTCTATACAGTCCACGTGTACTCGCTACAGTATATACAGTCCGTGTGTACCCGCTACAGTCTATACAGTCCACGTGTACCAGCTACAGTCTATCCGATAGTTTGTATTTACCAGTATATACAGTCTATATTTACCCGCTACAGTATATACAGTCTATATTTACATGCTACAGTCTATACGTCTTACCATACGTGTACGCACTTCCGGTACAGTGCCGAACGCGTCCCGACTCGTGATTGGCTAGACGAGGGGGGGAGAGCGGGGGGGGGCTGCTTGTGGCCCCACCGCTCCGAGGATGTTGGGGGGGGGGCTATGCGCATGACGTCACGCATACATTATAAATCCGCATGGCGGTGACGTCACTCGGGATCGATAAAAATAAGAGCGAGACAAAGGCAAAGATCCCCCGTGTAGCCTCGATAGACTGTCGGGGCAAGTGCTGTTAGCGAGTACCGGGGGGGGGGGGGTGCGTGGCCAACACCCACGCCCGACCGCCTTTGTCTCCCCCGGTGGCGATGTTTACGACGCCGCACCGAGGTTACTCATTTGAGGCTGAGTCGACCTCGAGCAAGAGAGCCCAAGGAGCCGGTTCGGGTGGCCGTCCCTGGGGGTGTTGGTGGTGGCCGTGAGTGGCTGGGGTCACAGTGGTCAACAGCGCCCACCAACCCCTCGGAGTGGCAGTCGCCGCGTCCGCCTGGAGCCTCGACAGCAGCAGCAGCAAGCCGGGGGTGACACGGAACGTTGGGGACTCGTCACACAGTTGACGAGGTTGTCGATAGCGACCCACCAACCCCACTCACACCTACCACAAAGACAAAGATCCCCCATATAGCCTTAACAGACTGTAGGGGCAAGTGCTGTTAGCGAGCACCTTTGAAGGCCGGAACGGTACACGAGGGGGTGGGTGGCCAGCACCACGCCCGACCGCCTTTGTCTCCCTAGTGGCAATGTTTACACACCGCACCAGGTACTCATTTGAGGCTGAGTCGACCTAGGGGAGGCCCGGGACCGGTTCAGATAATCGTCACTGGTGTTGGCCGTAAGCGGGAATCGAACCCGGGTCGCCAGGTTCATAGCGCAGCGCGCCAACCGCTACACTATCGCTCCCCACCCACACTCACGCACCAACACCACCTCCACCCACCCCAACAGACTCCACCCCCATCCACCTCCACCCACAGACCCCATCCCCACCCACCCACAGACCCCACCCCCACCCACCTCCACCCACAGACCCCACCCCCACCCACAGACCCCACAGACCCCACCCCCACCCACAGACCCCACAGACCCCACCCACAGACCCCACCCCACCCACCTACACCCACAGACCCCACCCCCACCCACAGACCCCACAGACCCCACCCACAGACCCCACAGACCCCACCCCCACCCACAGACCCCACCCCCACCCACCCACAGACCCCACCCCCACCCCCAGACCCCACAGACCCCACTCCCACCCCCACCCACCCACAGACCCCGGGGAGCCCGGCCACTGTGCGCGCCCTTAAGGGCTGGGGGAGGGAGAGAGGAGGGGGAGGGAGAGAGGAGGGGGAGGGGGGTGCAGGGTGCAGGGTCCAGCCAGGCGGAGTGTATCCGTGTACCGCAGGCGTCGCCTCAAGCACGGAGCCCGCACAACCACGGAGCTATGGTGAATGGGGAGACTATGTCAGGATGAATAGGGAGACTGTGTCACGGTGAATAGGGAGACTGTGTCAGGGTGAATAGGGAGACTGTGTCAGGGTGAATGGGGAGACTGTGTCAGGGTGAATAGGGAGACTGTGTCAGGGTGAATGGGGAGACTGTGTCAGGGTGAATAGGGAGACTGTGTCAGGGTGAATAGGGAGACTGTGTCAGGGTGAATGGGGAGACTGTGTCAGGGTGAATAGGGAGACTGTGTCAGGGTGAATGGGGAGACTGTGTCAGGGTGAATAGGGAGACTGTGTCAGGGTAAATAGGGAGACTGTGTCAGGGTGAATAGGGAGACTGTGTCAGGGTGAATGGGGAGACTGTGTCAGGGTGAATAGGGAGACTGTGTCAGGGTGATTGGGGAGACTGTGCCAGGGTGAATAGGGAGACTGTGCCAGGGTGAATAGGGAGACTGTGTCAGGGTGAATAGGGAGACTGTGCCATGGTGAATAGGGAGACTGTGTCAGGGTGAATAGGGAGACTGTGTCAGGGTGATTGGGGAGACTGTGCCAGGGTGAATAGGGAGACTGTGCCAGGGTGAATAGGGAGACTGTGTCAGGGTGAATAGGGAGACTGTGACATGGTGAATAGGGAGACTGTGTCAGGGTGAATAGGGAGACTGTGTCAGGGTGAATGGGGAGACTGTGTCAGGGTGAATGTGGAGACTGTGTCAGGGTGATTGGGGAGACTGTGTCAGGGTGAAAGTGGACTGTGTCAGGGTGAATATGGAGACTGTGTCAGGGTGAATAGGGAGACTGTGTCAGGGTGAATGTGGAGACTGTGTCAGGGTGAATGTGGAGACTGTGTCAGGGTGATTGGGGAGACTGTGTCAGGGTGAATAGGGAGACTGTGTCAGGGTGAATGGGGAGACTGTGTCAGGGTGAATAGGGAGACTGTGTCAGGGTGAATGTGGAGACTGTGTCAGGGTGAATGGGGAGACTGTGTTAGGGTGAATAGGGAGACTGTTTCAGGGTGAATGGGGAGACTGTGTCAGGGTGAATGTGGAGACTGTGTCAGGGTGAATGTGGAGACTGTGTCAGGGTGAATGTGGACTGTGTCAGGGTGAATAGGGAGACTGTTTCAGGGTGAATGGGGAGACTGTGTCAGGGTGAATGTGGACT